GAGAACCAGGTTCTAGAGGCCAGCGGAACTAAAAACCAGGGCAGGACGGTGGGCGTCCCAGAAAATGCCGTGTGCGCGCCTGGACCTCTGGACACCAGCCGACACGATGGCTTGTTCTTCTCCGTTAGGCTTAACTACATAGAAGGAACCAAGATGCTGGCTGCGTACCTGTATGAGGTGTCTCAGCTGGAGAAGTGAGACGGCCCGTCTTCCCCGGAGCACTGCCGGAGGAGTCCCGCCCTCTGCCCCCGCCCCGTGCTCTCTTCTGATCGCTGAGGAGAGCAAAGCCCATCTCTCTCCTTTCCCTCTTGTCAGACTGGATGACAGCTGAGTTCTCAGAGGAGGTCAGCGTGAGGGTCTCTGGAAAATAGCCAAGGTCTGAAAGCGCACGTTCTGCGGGAGGTTCTGGTTGGCATCCAGTTGGGCTGAACAGAGGTCTGGGTGCTTTCTGTCCCATCTCTGCTTCCTGACTAAGGCTCGTGCGCACTCAGGATATTAATCGGGGGGCCACCCTTTCCGATCCCTCACTGTTGTGCGGTTCTGTCCTTTCTCGAGACCTTAAACCGTGACTAGTGTTTCCTGTCTTCTCTTCATTATGATTCCTCAAAACCTAAGCCTAAGTGGAATGATTCGTTGTTCTCAGTATGTGCTGCTAAATAAAAAGTAAAAACGAAGCGTCTGGGAGAGTCCCTGCCCCTGCCCTCACTCGCAGAGCACGCCGTCCTGTGCAGGGGGTGTGGGTGGCTATGTGGGCTCATGGTGGGGGGAGGGGCTCCTCGCCCACCCACACGAGGAGAGCGGACTGGTGACACCAGATGTGGTTCGTTGAGCCCCGTGGCCTCTCTCACCCTCACTCCTTGGGTTCTCCTCCGCAGAGCCCTCGGGTCCGGGTCCCCCCCTGTTCATCTTCCCCTGGCCCACCCATACCCCTCTGCGAAACTCGTCCGAGGACAGCCTCTGAGGCCACTCACTCACCGTGGACACTTGTGCGGCTCGGCGCTCTGAGCCACCTCGCTCCGGGCCTTTGCGCTTTAGCTCTGGTTTCTAGTCGGGGGGTAGAGCCCCATGTGGTGCGGAGGGGATGGCGTTCATCAGTGAGCATTCCAGAAGTTGTTCTGCATCTGGGGAGGCCTCCGAACTGCAGAAATCCAAAGCTTGTCCGTACTGTCTTACTCCACCAACAAAAACACAACCGCCTGGCTGGTCTCCCGTAGAAAAAGCTAGCACTTACAGGGCCACATCCTTGACCCGGAAGGCCACGAGCTGAGAGGAGCTCCTCAGACCTGAACCTAAAGGGACTGGAGCGTCTCCACATCACGGAGGGAAGGTCAAGTTCAGTCTGCCCGTTTCTTGCGGTTAACAGTGTCAGGAGAAGATGACAGACGTGTCAGAATCCTTACCACGTGTATTAGTGAGGACATAGGCCGGGCAACTGGGACCGGAGGCTTCGCCACGACGACCGTGTACACGTTTGTCCTCGTAAGGTCTGCTCGGGTAGGCCCGGCCCTTCTGTCACTGGGGGCCCGCTTCCCGCTGCTCTGTCCCGTCACGGCCCCTGGTGGCTGCTCCGGTGCCCCCCGCACTTCAGCCTGGGCTTTCAGGCACAATCCAGAGTTCGCCCGTGTTCCTTCCACGTGCCTCTGACTCTCGGGAGGGGTCACGTGGCCACTTGTAACGGCACCAGGGCCAGGAAATGTGCCTGCTGAAATTCCCGTCACTCCGTAGGCGTGCCATCACATTTGTCCCAAGGAAATCAGAAAAATAGACTGCGTGGCATCAGATAGAGGAAGGATCCGTGGGGCACACTTTGTTAACTCAGTTTTCTGAGGGGACTTTAACATCTGCATCAGTCCCGGCGGCTTCAGGGAGCCTGCTGTGTGGGGATCAGGAAGCAAGCCTCATCCAACGTTGTTCACGCCTTCCTTTCTTTTCCTTTGCACCGTTTCCCATCAACACGTGACTGTGGGCCGACTCGGACAGTCAGTGGAGCCTGGTACCGTCCGTGACCAGGTTCACAGTCAGCATCATAAATCACCTGCGTCTAGGAGAACCTGTCAATCTGTCATAAGACAACAGCCCCTATATGGAGTGATGCATAGAAAGATGGTTTGCAGAATTCCACTGACCTGTGTTTGAAATGGCCTTGGTGGACAGGCTGCTTCAATGTGCAGCTTCAACAGTTATTTAGTAAGAAGAGAAGTTCCTTGGAGTAACAGATGGTCATGGCCAAAGCCTGCTTGAAAGGGAACAGTGTGGACGTTGAGCCAGATGTGTGGTGCAGATGGTCCTGTGGCCCCAACCATGCGTGGGGAGAGATCAGGGACCAACCTTGGCCAGGACAACCCTTGGAGATTTGGATTCACAGTCTGGTGTGTTTGGAAAGATTTCTCAGGGCGCCTGGGTGGCTCAGTCGGTTAAGCGTCCGACTTCGACTCAGGTCATGATCTCACGGTCCGTGAATGCGAGCCCCGTATTAGGCTCTGTGCTGACAGCTCAGAGCCTGGAGCCTGCTTTGGATTCCGTGTCTCCCTTTCTCTTTGCCCCTCCCTTGCTCACGCTCTGTCTCTCTCTCTCAAAAATAAATAAACATTAAAAACATAAAAAGAAAGATCTCTTGAGGTGGTTTGGAGACATAGCCTGTTAGCGGTTGAATTGTGTCCCCCTGCAAAATTCTTACAGTGGAGTCCTAATTCCCATTACCTCAGAACTTGACCTTATTAGGAAATAGGGTCTTCGAAGATGCAATTAATTATGACAAGGCCATACTGGAGTAGGCGGGCCCTAATCCCATGGGACTGATGACCTTATGAAAGAGGGACATTTGAACACAGACACGCACACAGGGAGAAGGGCATGTGCAGGTAAGGGCAGAGATTGGGTGATGTGTTTGCAAGATGAGGAACACCAGCCACCAGCAAGGAGCAGAAGCTGAGAGGCCCGGGAAGATTTTCTCCCTTCCAGCCCTTAGAAGGAACCAACTGTGCCCACACCTTGATCTTGGACTCCCAGCCTCTGGAACTGGGGGAGAACAGGTTTCTCTTGTTGCATTCACTGGCCTATGGAACCTCCTTGTGACAGCCCGAGCAGGCTACCTCGGGGCCTGCGATGCTGGTCTAGCTCGTACGTAACATTCCTCCTGAGGGCCCGTGATGACAGAGCAGGGGCTCCCGTACCTGCCCAACGTCGTAGGATGTGTTCCCTGCCTCTGTGTCAGCTCTGCTGGCCTTGGGCACACGCACTTGCTCCCGCTCACAGGTCAGCCCCTCCACACGTACGCGGTGAAGCACCTATTTGGTCACACTGCCTGAGCTGCCCTGATGGCCTTCAGGAACGTCAGATGACTTCTGGGCCCCTACTTCATCCCTTTATCTGCGCACATGAGATGCCTTGTTCCTTCCTCTGCCTTCAGACTGAATATCTCTGAAGCATCTTTGTTTTCCAAATGTGAATCGGTCCACTATGCCAGCCTTGTCTTTTATGGGGATGGCGGTGGGAGTACAGCCAGGCAGTTTACAGAGAGATCTCTAGTTTGGGCAGCTGAGGGCCTTGATAAGACCTTCTCTTCCCCTTTCCTTTGAGGTCCAGGGGAATTTCTAGAGGCTGCGGAACTCCAGCCCAATGGATCCCAAACTAGGAACAATGGTGAGTAGACCCTCCGACATCCGGAGTCTAGAGGACAGGGTGCCGGACTGCGTTTGTCCAAGGAGAGCGTGTGCCGTGCTGGTGTGCCAGGTGGGCAGGGCAGATGCCCGGGTGGCCCTTGAGATGAGCCACTTCAGGTGTGCTAGATGCTCATCGTCTCCACCTGACGGAGGTGAGATCTGCAGGATTTTCCAGTAGTTTCTGCAGTGCCCGGAATGCAGTTGTGCTGCGTGAGTAGTGGAGTTGGGTGTGGACTTGAGGCCCCCACGGCTGCTCCGGGTGGGCGAGCTAGGACATATGACAGCGTGCTTGTCCATATTCGCTTTTTCTTCCACAAAAACCAATATTCGTAATAAAACCACAGAGCAGAACTTCTGTTGAACGCAGAAAGCAAGGTACAACTTCGAGGGAGGGTATGGACAATCCTCACCAAACCCTGACATTTGGTGACATCTGGTGACATTTCTCACCAAACCCTGAACTCTCCCGCACCCCACCAACATTCGTGTGCATAGATTTGGGGCGGAGGCCCAGGAATCTGCATTTCAGGTGGTAATTCAGTGATTTTTGGTATATTCACAGATATGTGCAAATATCACCACAGCTGATTTTAGGATATTTTCATGACCTCATAAAAGAAATCCTGTACCCTTATCAATCTCTTCCTATTCCCCAGTGCCCACCTCCAGCCCCAAGGAACCCTTCGTCTATTCATATCTCTTCTAGGGCTCCCTGTGGTGCAGGCAGTCAGCTACTTAACAAGAAGCATTTCTAAGGAGAGAAAAGTTTATGATTAGGACAAACTCCAGACTCTGTTTTTTAGTCTAGAGGGAGATCAGTTGAGATTTTTCTGGATGTTGGGTTTGGAGCATCTTTAGATGGTGGAGTGGGTGTGAGTCTAGTGAATTCCTGCTTTGTGGTTGGTGTGACCGGTGATGGCATTGGGTGTTCTGGTGAAGTTCCTGAGTGGCCCACCCGGCAGCAGACGAGAAAAGCTGTCCATACATGAACCGGTGTAGTGATTTCTCTGAGGTTTGTATCAAGTTGTCCAGCTTCAGTTTCTAGGGCGTTGGGAAGAAAGGGAAGTTTTCCTTTTTAGCAATTCCAAGTCAGAAGGGTGGGAGAAAATTGGAAACATTAGTTTGGAGAGTTGTCGCCAGCTATTGGAGGAAACTGAAAAATTCAGGGCCCAGCCTAGTTTATAGGTGGATAACAGAACCCCAAAGACAATGACTAGGTCTAGGATCTGATAATGAATGTGTTGCAGTTCTGTACTGAAACACAATATTCTCTCTACAGTCACCCCCATTTAGGTCAAATGTGATCACAGTAGGATTAATGTGTTTGTAAAGTGAGTCTAGTCTCATTACACTTGGCCTGATAATTTACGTAAGTGCAACAAGAATACTGACTGGTCACGTAGGCTCTTTTTAAGTCTGCTTTACCAGAACTTTCAATAAAGAATCTCAGATTAGACTTTTGAAGTCTCTCTAGACCGGGAAGCTAAGCCAAGGACTTGTCATCATTCTTTGCCTGTAATACCTACAGATGTAGGTGAATTCCTCTCTTCTGTGGTCCCCAATATATATTCTTATTAATTAATTTTTTTATTGAATTATAATTAACATACGGTGTTATTTTCAGGTCTACAACATAGTGATTCCCCAGTTGTAGACGTTACCCGTTGCTCATCATAAGTGTGGTCACCAGACAACGTTATCGCGGTAATATTGGCTATATTCCCTATGCTGTACTTTTTCAACTCTGTCACTTACTTATTTTGTGCCTGGAAGTTTTTAACCTCTTAATCCTCTTTATTTCACCCATCCCCTCCCAGCCTCTGGCAGCCACAAGTTC